TTCTTTTCTCTTTGTTCAAGTTGGACCTCAGGGGCAGAAGGTGAAGTTAACATATTCCGCACATCATAGCCGATTATCACGGGGTCTATGCCAGGCTCCTTTCATGCTTTGTATGCTTTTCACTTCGCTTCTCCCCATCTCGTTCCCTTCCTTCCACAGACAGCCATTCTAACATTCAGTGTGACCCATTTTTTTGGTTGTGTTCTTGAAAATGGGAATTGTTGATCTGTACACTTGCATTTTAAATTTATGGAGACAGTATTAGCTCACTCTGTTTGTTTTGGCTTTTTGTTGTTTTTTTGTTTTTTTCACTAAGTGCCATGCTAAGATTTACCACTGTTTTTCTGGTTTGTCTGGCCCAGTGCTTTCAACAGCTGTATTACCCTGTGAGGTGGCATCTGCCTGACATGACTCCCCCAGTCCCCCGTGATGATCCCTTGAGCTCACTTCCAATTCCCTGCACCATAAACAACATAGCAATGTACATCTTTCACATGTGACCCCTTATATTGTGTTGAGAAGGTTTGGGGACATAGACTCAGGAGCAGAATTGCTTCTCGTGCGGACTTACCATGGCTAAGGGACACGGGTCTCTCCCTCCAGGGGCTGCTCTGGCTACACCCCCACCAGCCCTGCCCCTAAATTCCTACGGCCATTCCAGCCCTGGGCACAAGTTCATTTTCTTTTTTTAAAATTTTTTAATTTTTTAATAAACATATAATGTATTATTAGCCCCAGGGGTACAAGTCTGTGAATCGCGAGGTTTACACACTTGACAGCACTCACCGTAGCACATACCCTCCCCAATGTCCATAACCCCACCACCCTCTCCTGACACCCCCCCTGCAACCCTCAGTTTGTTTTGTGAGATTAAGAGTCTTTTATGGTTTGTCTCCCTCCCGATCCCATCTTCTTTCATTTATTCTTTTCCTACCCCTCCAGACCCCCCACGTTGACAAGCCTGTTTTCCGATTTTTGCCAGTCCTACCAATATAAAGTAAGAGCCCACCGTGGTGTCAGTTCGCATTCCCCAGATTAGCCATGAGTGTGGGCGTCTCTTCACTTTCTTGGTAGCCTCATTGCCCCTTAGGACGTCAAGTCTCCCTTCTTTCTCTTGATGATTTGCAAGGATTCCTCCTATGTCCTGAAAAGACCTCTTCTCACCCAGCGCGTGTGTCTCCGCTGCTGTCGTCGCCTGCGGGGACAAAGGAACCCATCTGGCTGCCGTTCTTCACGCCCTCCTCCCGGGGATATGGGCTTGGCGAGGGCCACAAGCACAAAGGCATAGGAACTCCTTCCTCCCCTCCCCTCCCCTCCCCTCTGCGGACCTGGCCTGAGGACTGCAGTCTAGGAAGACTGGTAACAGACAAGAAAACCTGCCCCCTGTCTCCCCCGCTGCTAACCTGCTGTGTCAATTTCATGAGTTAATAAATGATTGCAGAAGCCTTAATTGCCTCAGAAGAAATTGAGATCAGAGGTGCTTAGGCCCCACTCAATTAACTTGTGCTCCTCAGGGGGCTGAGCTGGGAACAGGGGGCAGCCGGTCGTTAATTACACGTTCTGTGGCCAGCTGTGGCTGCCTTGCCTGCCCACGTCGCTCAAGCAGTGAGCAGGTGACTCTGAGTCAGTGAGCTGAAGTCACAGACCCCTGGCCTTGGGGGGGTGGGGAGTGGGACCCTCACTTCCCAGTACATCCTCTCTGGGTGGCCTTTCATTCTGCAGCCCCTCCCCACCAAGCCTCTCCTGGAAGAATGGCCTTTAAGATTCCCCATCACTGACCTCTTCGGGGGCCCACCCCCTCCCCGGGGTTGCCACGTTCCTATAGCTCTCCTGTACTCCCCCTTTCCTCCTCCTTCTGGCCCACTATCCTCAAGGACACGGTCCAGAGCCGGTTTCCTGGGCTGCAGCAGATGATGCCCCAGGCTCTGCAAGGTCACCTACCGCCCCCCCTCCCTGCCCCCTGCTGCCTGCAGCCTGAAATCCTCCCAAAGACTTTCATTCCTACCTCATCTCTAAAAGGGGCCAGATGGGGAGACGCAAGCCCGTTAAAAACACAGATTCCTGGGCCCCTCCTCTGGAGATGCTGCCTTGGTGGGTCTGGAGTCTGTTTTTTTGACACCTGACTCGGGTGATTGTTACGGTCAAGATAATTTGGAAGACCCTACTTCAGCCACCTTAGCTCCTGGTGAAGTAAGTGCGGGAGAGACTGCAGCCTCATGGCCGGCCTGGCCTGGGGCCAGGAGGTCCACTCCCTGTGGCCCTGCTGCTCCATCTCTATCTTGCTGTGTGTGGTGAAGCCAGTCACGTCCTCTCTGATTTGGTTTCTTCATCTAGGAAATAGATACTGGGCCAGATCTCTTAGAGTCCTTCCATTTCCACGGATCATTTTTCAGTAGCTGGGAGGTTAAACGAGCATAATGTATGATTTGTGCTCAAGAAACATCTTTCTTTCTTTCTTTCTTTCTTTCCTTCCTTCCTTCCTTCTTTCTTTTTTTTTTTCTTTGAGCATCCCTTTACTTTAGAATGTATTCCATGGGGGCACCTGGGTGGCTTAGTGGGTTGAAGCCTCTGCCTTCAGCTCAGGTCATGATCCCAGGGCCCTGGGATCGAGCCCTGCATCGGGCTCTCTGCTCAGCAGGGAGCCTGCTTCTTGTCCACTCTCTCTCTCTGCCTGCCTTTCTGCCTACTTGTGATCTCTCTCTGTTAAATAAATAAATAAAATCTTTAAAAAAGAAAAAAAGAATGTATTCCATGGAAGAAATTTTCTCCTGCCTCTGGATAAAAACGTGGGCCAGTCCCATTGCTTGTCACCCACTCTTAGGTGATAGCCTGTGGTACCACTCAGCTACAGCTACAATCTCAACGTAGAAGTTGGAATTGTTGGATCACTGACAGCGTGTTCTCCTTTGGGCCAGTTTGGATCTGCTTCGGGTTGGAAGCTGCAGGGGCGGTGGGCTGTGTCCCTCTGCTGTCTGTACTTCCCCAACTCTTCCCTTCCTCCCCCCGCCCCCCAAGAGGGTCTGTTTTACGAGCTGAAATGGGGAATTCTTACCGGTCAGAGAGCAGGGGAAGCTTCAAAGGGGCTCTTGCTTTTGTAGATTTTTTGTGTATGTGGGCTCTTTGGAGGTTGCCTGCTGGGCCCCTCTCTCCTGCAGGTCCCTTACCCTAGGCAGACACATCAGCCCTGTTCCAGGCATCTCTTGCAACCTCTTGCTCAGCCCCCGTGCACCTGGATGTCCAGCCGCAGTTCTTCTCACGTCTCTGGTTGGCGCTCCTGGACAGGACTCAGGAGAGCCAGCCCCCGCCAGCCCGGGGCCTGCCGCCCTTGGGGGCTCGGGTAAGGGATTCATGGTTCAGCAGCAACTTGCCAAGGAAATCTTCCACGCCATATCTTCACAAATTTGTGACCCATCTGTATTTTTCAAAGTGGAAGAAAGGCTCCTGGATCCTGAAATAGACTATTGACATTCCCATGTGTGTTCCCCTGCACGGGGCTGGGGAAGAGGGACCTGTCCCAAACTCACGGGCGTCCTCTTATTTCTATCAGTTGACATCTCAGTCAAAACTTAGATAGGAGGGGCGCCTGGATGGCTCAGTAGGTTAAGCCTCTGCCTTCAGCTTGGGTTATGATCTCAGGGTCCTGGGATCGAGCTCCGCGTCGGGCTTGCTGTTCAGAGGGGAGACTGCTTCCCCAAGACCCCCCTCCCCCACAACCGCCTGCCTCTCTGCCTACTTGTGATCTCTGTCTGTAAAATAAATAAATAAAATCTTAAAAAAAAAAAAAAACTTAGGAAACATCTCCTTGGACATCCAGCTATCCATGATTGCCATTTTAACGAGAATAAGAACATCTTTGAGAAAAGAAAGCCTGAGTGGCCACAACATCCCGGGCCGATCATAGGCAGGAAGGTCTAGATCTAGAGGAGACGTGAAGGTGGGCCTGAGCCAAATCTGTGGGTGAACGTGGGCCTTCTCAGCTTCTCCCAGAGTTCTGCTCCTGAGGCCTGCTGAACTCAGATGAGATCCAGGCCTTGAGACATTAGTGTGCCCTTGACCTCCAGCTTGTGGCTGCCGCGGAGAGCCCCGAGCTGGTCAGCCCATCCCTGTGGAAGGTGGCTCTGGGGATCCAGTTATCAGTTGGGTTCCCTTCCCAGTACAAGACCCCCAGCGGGGCCTTACCCTCTCAGGACAATGAGCCAAGGGAAGCCTCACTGGAGAGTGTCCTCCTTCCCACTCTTCTGTTCCCAGTCTATGCCCAGACTCTCCTGGAAATCATGTCGAGTGGATATTTAAAGAATTTTCATTTTAAGGGACCCCAGGGATTAGCTTACACTGGATTTGTAAATGTCCTGGTAGGACCTCGCCACCCCCTCCTCCATCAGCACGCCAGCATGAGTGTGTGACCCGACTGTCCTGTTGGCATGTTGTCCTGAGGCAGATTGGGATTTTGGAGTGAGGGACAGGAGTGTGCGGCTGTGGGCACTGGGAGTATGGACAGGCCCAGGGAAGGATGGGGAGGGAATGGGAAAGAGGTACGTGTGGCCATAGAGAAAAGAATCAGCCACGTAGGCAACAAGGATACATTCATCAGGGGATAGGCCAGAATTCTCCAGGAGAGTGTGATAGAAGTAGCTAGACCCCTTTCCCCACCTTAAGCCTCGCTTCCCAGAATAGGCAGAGGCTCGTGCCCGGCGTCCTGCTACTGTGTTGGGCCGTGGGTTCCACACAATGGCACTGAGGGAAGGAATCAAGGACAGGACGGGATGTGGCCTTACAAGCCTGTCTTCAGGTTCCTAGGCTGGGGGTCTCAGAGACTGAGGCAGCCGCGGAAGCCAACAGACAAGTCCCTTTGGGGAACGTCCACTCAGTCTCGGAGTCTGTCTGTGCTCTTGCCCTCCCTCTCCAGCTCTCACAGATCTTCCTCTCTCTTCTCTGGCAGGAACTGATGCCCTTGGCCATGACGCACCCCCAACCTCTGTCTGCTCGGGCGCAGCCTGCATGACTGAACCGTCGCTGTCCCAGCTGTTTTGCGTAAGTGTGAGCCGCAGGCTGAGCCTCACCCCCGGGAGAAGGTGACTGGGCCCTGGGTGGGGAGGGGTGTTGGTGGGGAGTGAGGTCCAGAAAGCCCTGGTCTCAGGGCAGGTCCCGGGGATCTTTAGTTGGCAATGGGTTTGTCAACTCTTTGGCTGCTCTTGCTCCCTGACTTGGCTACCACAGAACCCATCTGCCAGGCCCTGGGAGGGAACCTCTTGCTTCCGGCCTTGGGAAGCTCAGCAGGAGGCAGCTGGGTAGGATGAAAACTCCACAACACTGACCCTTGCGTCCTGACTTGTTATTGTATGACTTGAGGGGAGTCACTTAAAGGTCCAACTTTCTCTCCCGCATGTGGGGGTTTTGTGGGGTTCCGAGGTGCATCTGTTATCTTTTGCAGCATGACAGACTCCCACCAACCTAGCAGCTTGATACAGCACACACTGACCAGCTCACAGCGTCTGTGGGTCAGGGCTCCAGGCATGGCCAGCTGGGTCACCATCTCAGGGCCTGTCATCAGGCTGCCTTCAAGGTGTCTTGGGGCTTCAGTTTCTTCTTGAAGCTCGCCTGGGGAAGGGCCCACTTCCGCTCTCACTTGTGATTGTCCAGCTTGATTTAGGTCATTGGGCGGAGGGCCAGAGGCCACTCCCTGTCCCGGGCCACATGGTCCTCCCAATGTGGCAACTTGCTGTGTGCAAACCAGCAAGGGAAGGAGAGAGAGGGAAGGAGTCGGCAGCAAGAAGGTGGCCGAAATGGCATACAGTCTATTCACAGAGGTGACATCCCATCGCCTCTGCTGTGTTCTGTTGGTTAGAAGCAAGTGACAGATGGCACCCCCCTCGAGGGCAGGGGAGCACACTAGGCATGACTACAAGAGGGAGGGCTCATTTGGGGCCGTCTTAGAGTCTGCCCGTCCCAGGAGGGGATGGAAATGGAAGCAGCGTTTAGACTGGAGAGTGCCGTTTAGACTCATTTGCATTAGTTGCAAGAAAATGAACCCCCCTGCAATGACAGGAGCCCTTGGAGATGGGGATTTAAATGCTAGATTGTACCGTGACCACGGGGTCTGCAGGGCAAGAGGCTGGGCCCTGGCCTGTTCCCCACGTGCCCTTCACAAGTGCTTTCTGGGTTCCTGACTGTAAGGCCACATTGAAGCTGACATCTAAAATGTCTGGGGCGGTCCTTTTACCCCACAAATGACTGTCTTTGAAGGACTCTCTTAGAGTCCCCAAGGGGCTCTTGCATACGTGACTCTCACTTTTCCCTCACAAGCACACTGGTAAGCTGAGTTTTTTTGTTAAGCTTTCTTTCGCAAGTGAGAAAGGAGGTCAGCCTCCAAGATGGGGTAGCCGCTAAATGGCACAGCTGGGCCTCCGATGGGCCTTCAGATGTGTGCCTCTGCCATGCCCCCCCCATTTTCCAGCCACTTCTGTGGAACCGCTGCATGGTACCCAAAGAAGGGAGGCCAGGCGTGGAGGTCAGAAGGAGGGAGGGCTGTGTTCTTATATAGCTTCCTCACTCCCTGTATCCTAAAACAGGCTAACATCTCAGGGGGCGAGGCCAAGACGTGCAGGTAGAGTGAGTCACTGCTGCCTTCCGCTTCAGGTCACTCCACAGGCCTCTCTTGGCTCAAACGGCCCTCCGTGGGGAGTGTCTGAGCAGGCAGGGTCAAGTGCAGGCATGTTGTCGAGGGCACATACATTCTCTCAAGGCTGAGGCTCATCTCTCGCCCCCTATCACGCCCCCCACAAATGCCCAGCAAATCCCGGAAGCATGGCCCACCATGCATCTGGGCAAAGTCAGTCAAATTGGACTTGAGCAGGGACGCTCGGTCTGCGAGACGGGATGGGCGCTGAGCCATGCAACTTGCTGCCCCCCGGTGGTCAGTCCGGGTCATCACTGTCAGGCCGGCGAAGGAAGTCCTATATCTGGCCCAGGATTAGCAAACACACATTCATCAAGCATGCGCCATATATAACACTGCAGGGGTAGGAGCCCGATCGGAGGCAGCTCCTGATCCCACAGGACTTCTCATGTACCCGAGGAGTCAAGATGTTCCCACGTGAAAGCAAACAAGCATCCTACCAAGAGAGGGTTTGGAAAGTGGCCCATGGAAAGACTTTGAAGTGGGAATCCAGAGAAAGAGAGAGAGAGCACCACAATGGGGGATCCAGGGGGTCTCTCTTGGAGGGTGGGCAGGATCTAAACAGGGGGAGAAAGCAGGCTCCTGCACTCTGCTACCAGCAGCCCCTCAGGAACGCCTGTGGCCTCCGAGAGAGTGGGATGCCAATCCTTGCCTGGCTCCCAGCCTCTCCCACTTGGTGCCTGCCCTACCTGGCCTTTCCGGAATCCTTACAGCTCCTGGAGGCCCTCGTGGTCTCTCACGCACCTGGGCTGTTGAGTCTACCTACGGGTCAAGCTCCCACTCAGCTTCTAGCACCCAGCTCCAGCGAAACCATTTCCAGGAACCTTTCCCAAGTAGTTAGTCGCTCCCTGCTCGGTGCTCCCACAGCCCCTGCTCTGTGTGTCTTAGGCCATACCACAAGGTATGTTAAAGTGCCTTGTCAACTCTAGGCCCGGAGCCTCCTAAGAACTGGGCCTGCCTGGTGGAGAGATGATTCATGTAGGGGGACCGCAGGGGGTGAGCATGCCGGCACGCGGGGCAGGCAAAGTGTGGCGGGGTGCATGAGGATGGCGAGCGGCAGATGGTATCTGAGTGAAGAACAAGGTGCCCCTCCTCCAGGTGGACACAGCAGGGCCTACGGCTTCCGGCGTGGACGGCCGCTCCCCTTCCAGCCCCGCTTGGCCTCCGAGTAATGAGCAGCCTCCTCTGGTGGAAGCACTAATGGGGGGGGGGGGGGGGGGGGGGGGGGGGGAAGGGGGGGGGGGGGGGTTGCCCACTTGGAAACAGGGTGATGACTTAGGCTGTCACATCAGGTACCAGAGTTGGACATCCCAGGGGGACACCTGAGTGAAATGTCCTTCAGGCCACAGTGGGAGGCACAGGGGAGGCTGACTTGGGAGCTGCGGGCTTGTCGGTGACGCTCCCAGTGACCAGGACAGAGTGCGGGCGGTAGGGAGGGGGGCTTGCGGACTAGTCTAACCCTTGGGGCCTTTTTCAGGGGCAAAAGTCTTCTCCCAATAGCTCTGTTCCTATTATTGTCTTGCAGGTCTCTGTTCCCATTATTGTCTTGCAGGTCTCTGTTCCCGTCACTGAACGTAAGTGCGCACGGTCATTCTTCCTCAAGATGCCAAGGCTCCTCCCGCCCTCCCGCTGCAGGGGCACCATCAGCCTTGTCCCCACGTGCCCGGGGGGCGGAGCTTCACCCCCATTAGCAGGACCATTCTCAACCTCGCCCCCACGGTCTGGGGGCCAGAATGCTGCCTGTTGCCCACTCCCTCTGGGTTCACCCTGCCCTTGTCTTGCACAGGAGTTGGAAAGAGGACAGAGATGCCCCCAAAGGAGTGTGGGTTGGAGTCAGGGCAGAACCAGGTGGAACTTGGGAGATTCGGCCCCTGTCCCCTCCACCTGAGTCCGGGGCTCGGGGGGCCACTGCTCTTTGTGCGATTGAGAGCATGGCCTCGGGGTGAGCCAGGCTGGGCAGAACCTCAGCCAAACCAGTCGAAGCCGCGGTTCGTCATGTGTGACACAGGGGTAATAACGAACTGTCCTGAAAGGTATTTTGAGGGTTACCTGAGAGGAGCGGGGAGAGCTTAGGGCAGTGCCACAGGCTAAGCCCCCAGAAAAGGAAGCTGTCATCTTTCTGTCTTAGATGGAGCCACGAGGTGAGGCCAGGCTGAGTAGGATGTGAGGAGAATTAGAGAGAGGCACGGCAAGCTTTGAAACTGAGCAGAGGCCAAGAGCGGAATTATGCTCTCCATTAGTGCTCTGCTTCCACTCTTCCCTGCTCAGCTGTGACCCCCCCCCACCCCCAACCCCCAGGTTAGCCTGGCCCAGGCTGCAGCCTCTCTCTGCCTTCAGGAAGTCCCCGGTGTCTCAGTGCCCATGGCCCTTCTCGTCCAGCTGCCCTCAGGTCCTCCCTGCCTCCACCTATGCAGGAAGTCCCAGGAGGCCTCCCTGCCCTCCCCCTCCCCTGCGCACAGTGTGGCGGCTCCTCACCTCCTTGTGCTCGCATGTCTTTGCAGAGTTTGATGGGGTGTCGGGCGGATGACAGCGGGAACAGTTGTGATCACTGGCGGAATCCTAGCTACAGTCATCCTCCTCTGCATCATTGCCGTCTTGTGCTACTGTAGGCTCCAGGTCAGTCCCCGGAGGCCATCGGCAAACCATGTCCCCATTCTAGGGGCAGAAACGGGACCCGCTTCCAGGGTGACAAACCTCAAAGTCAGGAAGCGTGGGGGGCTGGGAATCGAGGGTAGCCAGACGGGAGCCATGTGTCTCTCACACTCTGTCCACTTCAGGGGTTCCCCAAAGAGACTGTGCTGGGAAGACAGCTGGTCACTGTGTCGTGTCTCTGGCATAGCTGAGATTTTGGGAGCGGTGGGAAGGGCACCCCTCTCGGGGAACTGTGACCCCACCCATGTCCTCAGTAGACACGGAGGTCCCGCCTCTCTCGACCTCAGCCTGCAGGGAATGCTATGAAGTAGGGGGAAGGAAAAGGGAAGGTATTGGTTTGGTAAGGCTGGGAGTATGTGCTGGTGGGATGTGGGTGTCTGGTGCTGAGTTTTAGTTGTCAAAAAGCGCTCTGTGCAGTGTCCTTGGTGGACAGGGGCATGGGCGCCTTTGTGCCCCGCAAGGGGAGCCTCGGCCCTCAAGCGTCCCTCCCCACTGTCCCCTCAGTACTACTGCTGCAAGAAGAGCAGAGCCGGAGATGCAGACGAGGAGGAGGAGGAGCGCGACCTGCCCCCACACCCCAGAGGCCCCAGCTGTAATGCCTGCAGCTCCCAAGCCCCCGATGGCCGAGGCGGCCTGGCGCCTCTCACCAGCGAGCCCTGCGGCCAGCCGTGCGGGGGGGGCGGCCGGCCACTGCACTGCCTGCTCCCCATACAGCTCCCCCTTTTACATACGGACGGCTGACATGGTGCCCAATGGGGGCGGAGGGGAGAGGCTCTCCTTTGCTCCTACATACTACAAGGAAGGGGGACCCCTGCCCCTCAAGTTGGCAGTGCCCCAGAGTTACCCGGTGACGTGGCCAGGCTCTGGGCGTGAGGCCTTCACCAATCCAAGGGCTATTAGTACAGACGTGTAACCCCCTTCACCCCTGACCCCTCCACATACCTACCCACGCTGCTGTCCCGCTGCTGTACCGGCAGGAACACCAGGGAGCAGCGGGGGACCCCTCCAACAGCCCACAAGGACATCTCAGTGTTGTTTGTTTGTTTGTTTTGGCTTTTCTTGCCCCACAGTGGAATTAGAGCTGCCCAGTGCATTGAGAACCAGGGCAGGGCCTGGCCCTGTGGCCCGCAGGTGGGGGCTGGCAGGACGAGGGGGCAGCCAGGCCTCTTTCTGTGCCTGAACCTTCCTCCACCAGCACCAGCCCCACTGCAACCCCTCTTGCTTCCCTTGCTCCCCACCCAGCTTTGGACTGTGAGAGGACAAGCAGCAGGGAAAGCTAAGTGAAGGCTGCCTCCACCCCAAGACTCCTTGAGAGATGGAAGAAGAAAGGGGACCTGGGGTGAGGAGAGATGTGAGAAGTAGGGCACAGCAGCGTCTGAGAAGGGGCTGGAAGGTGTTCAGGGGACCTCTTCAGGACACGCTTGCTGCAACGACACCGAGACCCAGGTCCCAAGCCAGTTTTGTATTTGGTGATCGTGGGGACTGCGGTCCCTGCCGCTGTTCCAATGTGGACATTGATTCTGGAACCTGCTATGTTCCCCTTCCTCGTGGGACACCCTGAGTGGACTCGGAAGGCCATGGTGTAAGGTTCTTTGTGGGGAATGCACGAAAAAAGGGAAGCCTAACCTTGTCTCCCCTCCCCACCCACCCCAGTCCTCCTTCTCTGCCTCCGGAACCAGCTGCCGCTGCTGGAGAACCTTGTTGAAGTTTTGTTACTGAGTTTGAACAGCTGGGCGAGTGAGACCTTCTTGCTGAATGTCTCTGGGGCCCGGGTTGGCCACCCTGAGCAGTGGGGGAGCAGTGCTGCGAGGGTGTGTGTGTTCTCAGGTGGGCACACACCTGTCACCACCCGCACACATCACGGGGCGGGGCGCTGTGCCACCTCTGGGAGCCCCGGAGTGGAAGGGCTCTAATGCATGGACTAGAAAGGGAAATCTGACCTCAGCGTGAGGGAAAGGTGACTGACGTGTCTAGTCCCCTAGCAAGCAGCTGGAGGGTATGGGGAGGGCCTGCAATCTCCCAGGGACAGTGCTGCAGCCGTGAAGCCCCCCACCCCCTTCAGAGGCCCAGCGCTCTACTCGGGCACCCAGCTACATTGTCATAGGGCTGGACGACTTCATTGCCCTAGGGACAGCATCCCCCTGCTCCAGATTCTATGCTCACTGCCCTCCCTCCACTGGACTCCCCCAGCCCCCCAGGCTCCAGTGACAGCCTGTTAATTGCCCGAGCCTGGCCCTCAGTTCCCACTTAGAACTCCTCTGTGACCTGAGGGAACATACCTGATGAGTTTTCCAGTTGCCTCTAAACTTAGGGGTCCTGCTCCCCCTTCTCAGGGCACGCCTAACCCCTGGCGCTTCTGAATCACGGCCTGCTGCGGAGGGTGGGGAGGGAAGGAGCTATTGAGAAAAGCTGGGCGCAGCTGGGAGAGGGGGAGGAGGGGGAGCCTTCACCACACCTCTTGTTTCCTCTGTCTGCAACCTGTCACCTTGCATCTCAGCTGTCATTAGGGCCCACTGGGTGAGGATGAGCGGACCTGGGGTCTGGTCACACTGAGGTCATTCATTGGCTCTAGGAATAGTCATTTATCTTCTCTGAGAGCCCATGTTCTCCAGGAAAAGGAGACCTGCCCAGATGGACCCTAAGAAACAGCCTGGACTTCCTGAAGAGTTCTGCCAACCACGCGGCTCCTCCTTGCCTGAGTCCTGGAAGCAGCCGGATGCACCTGCCAACGGCCTGATCCAGTGCTCGGAGACGTGGACTGAGGACTAAGCCAGCACCTTGAAATACAGGGTCAGCAGGCAAAACGATTTTAATTGTTCAGTGAAAAGCAAACACGTTTGTCTGATTCTCCCCCTGGGTGATCTCAGACAGTTACACGTCCTTATAGCAGGAGGCAGTTCTAGGCAGGAGGTCATGAGGTCTGTCTCCTAGTCCAGATGGACCAGTGTAGGACGACAACTTTAACACACGCCGTCTCATCACCAGTCCTTATTGGGCCAAGCCCACTCCCCACTTGACATGAGTTGCTGGGTCTGACAGCGATTGTGACCTCCTGATGACCAGCCCTTGTGCCTTGCTGCCCCGGAATTCCACAGCCAGTTACCACAGCAAGGGCCGTTGCTCCTCACAAAACCATAGTATCGTTGTTCCTCCTCCCTTTGAAGAAATCAAGACAGTCCAGTCAGCTCTCATCTGCTTCTGGTTCTGATCTACGGGGTCCCTGAGGGAAAAGCATCTTATAGAGTCCCCTCTCCTCCCGTAGCTTTCCCAGCCGAAATCTTGTCACCCTACACGTGAAATCTGGGTTTGGGGCACTGGAAAGATGATGGGCCGCAGCTCTCCCCTACACACCCCCACAGCGCATGGGGCACGATTTCCAGATTGCCTGTCCTCCCCCCTGTCGCAGGGAGGGCCTTACCCATGGAAGAGGAAGCTCACCCATTCAGCTGCTCTGCACGCTCTTGCTGTGGTGTCTGTGCTATGGGACACTATCTGGACACTTTTCAGATCGTACCCTAACAGGAAGAGAAAGAGAGGCTAGGAAGACCCTGTCCTCTCCGGCATCTTGTCTCTGCCTCCACGTCACTGCTCCCGCTACAGATTTCCCATCCTGCATCTTTGATAACTTGGAGTCACAACCAAGTGAATGTCCAAATAAATGAGGAATTTGAAATAGAAATCCCACAGAATCCTCTGTTATTCATCCAAGGAGGGGGCAGCCGGGCATGGATTTAAGAGTGAATGCTCCTTAATATTTCCTCAAATGTCCATTTTCAACACCAAAATCTATCAGCTTCTTCTCCCCTCCTACTTCTACACTAATAGGGCGTCCGCCATGTTGCCTCCATCAGAGTTCACGCCCAGGGAGGATGTGTTATTTGCTGGGGAAGGGCTGTGAAGTGTAGTTGCCATTGCCCCTGAGGGGAAGGGGCCCAGGGAGCCTCACTGGGGAGCAGCCCAAGCTTCAGCCCTGCTCCTTGCCCCCAGGGGACTCCCCCCACCTCCTGACAGGCAAAGGGCCTTCTCCACTACAAGTGTGGAGCAATTTTCTCTCCATCAGGTCAATGGTTGGAAGATCAGAGGGAAAACATTGTTAACTGGCCGTGGTTCATATCATATATATATATATATATATATATTTTGCAATCTTTTTGTTGTAAAATATATACATAGCATAACATTTACAATTTTCACCATTTTGAGGTGCACAACTCAGTGGCACTAATTACATTAATTACATTAATTATCACCACCGTGTCCAAAGCTTTTTACCCCAAATAGAACCTCTGTGACCACTCATGTTTGAATTATTTTTAACAGCTGTGTTTTACCGTGGAATGAAAACCAAGCTTTGGAGGAGGGGCCCCTGCCTGTCCTGCCAGAAGCTGGGTCTTAGCAAACCAGTAGGAAGGCGGGTTGTTGAGGGATCGTCCCTTCCCCTTCTCCCACAGTGGACTCTCCTAAGCGAAACCTGACTTCAAGGGAACTCCACAGATGAGTGTGTTGGAATGTAATTTTGCGGGAAAGGTGGGGGGAGGCCTGGGCAGGCAGCATATTTTAAGAAGAAAAGGAAGAGGATTTGAGCAGTGGAGAGAATGAACCAGCCAGGAGGGGCAAGGCTAGGTGAGTGCAACCCGGCAGGGGCAGTGGGAGCTTGGAGGCCTGGCCTCCTTCCTTCCCGGCTGCCTGCATGCTCAGGTCCTGAGCTCAGGTCCACTGGGTGGACGGCAGAGGCCTCAGGGAGACCACTCTCAGGTCCCCAGACAGAAACCGGGCATGAAGGCCATCCCAGCAGCCTTCTCGGCAATAGACCTCGCTGCACGGGGCCTGCTCCACTGAGCAGCCACCTGTCCCCTTCGTGGTTCTCACACTGCCACAGCAGGTGGGCCACTGGCCACTGAGAAGGGAGGGAAGGGGAGCAGGAAAGGAGAGCAAACCAGGTGCCCACTAGTGTCACCAGACTCCCCCCACGGACTCAACCAAACAGCGGTTTGAATGCACATGGGGTTTCTGAACCCCCGGGGAGTCAAGGGAAATTTGTGTGCATCAGGTATCGGAAAAGCATTCAGGTAGGGGCGCCTGGGTGGCTCAGTCGGTTAAGCATGGAACTCTGGATTTTGGCTGAGGTCCTGATCTCAGGGTCGTGAGATCGAGCCCCTCAGCAGGCCCATGCTCAGCAGAAAGTCAGCTTGGGATTCCCTTTCTCTCTTCCCCCTCTCCCTCTGCCCGCACACCACCCTTGCATGAGTGCTCTCTCTCTCTTCACAAATAAAGGAGGATCCCTGCCTCCCCCAACCAAAAAAAAAAAAAAAAAAAAAAAAAGGAAAAGGAAAACAAAAACACCAGGAATTTTCATCCAACCTGAAATGACTTTTCATTTACAACCTGTACCGTACCATGCACCCATCTCCACCTGTGCAAATCTCTCCTGTCCTTTAAGCCTTTTCCGCGATTCAACATTTTACTCCTCTGCCCACACTTGCAGTAATCTCTCCCTTTTTCTGGATAACCCAAACAGCCTATCTCTACCTCCCTGTGGCATTCTAAGTTGGAGGGCTGATCCTTGGTGTGCCCTCTATCTCCTCCGTAGACAGAATGTTCGCAGAGGGCTGAATTCACCACTGAGCTCAGTGCTATGCTCCGCACGTGGTCTGCAGTCGCCCAAAGTCTGCTAAAGGAAGCAGGATGCATTTCTCCCTATCATGAGACTATTCTTAACATTAAAAAAAAAAAAAAAAAAAAGACAGGTGTATTCAGAAGGGGAGAGAAAGAAATAGAACCATACCATAAATATAAGTGGACTAGAAAAATTTGAGTGTAGGGAGAACCCCTTTGTTCCCTTTGTACATGTCCTTGAAGTGGGTTTAGGCGACAGTATTGGAGAAGAGGGAACAGCAGGTTTTATTTACACCGAAGCCCATGACTATGGCAGACATGTAATGAGGTTGTCGTCTGAACCCCTGGAGGAAAGGGTTCCGTGGCTAGTTTGCAATGGAGCG